AAGTCCCATCGGACTAATTGAGGTGAAACTTATGGGATTATGAACTAAGTCTAATAGAGGTAATTTGGAGCTCAAGCTCGAAGAAGAGGAGACCCGTAAACTCAGGCCGTGTTAAAACACCGTGGCACGAGCCATAAGCCCGGAACACAGTGCAACGCATATCCGGGGGCACGCGTATAGTACAGGGACGTACACGAAAATTGCGTAAAAATTGCCCCATCACTTGAACGTTGAGTGAGTGTGAACGCTGAAGAGATTGTAACGATGAGATTTTAAGTAGTTCTTGAGTATTGTCGATTAAGCAGCAACGGATAGAGGATAGCCAATTGATCTTCAATAGATTTGCCTGAGAAAGCCATCACGGCTGATTTTGTCTATTTTCCCTGCGCAAACAAGCCCATCGCAATTTTAAACGAGTTACTTAGAAGGCGCGAAGGGAAAAAAACCGCCATAAATTGTGCACCACAATGAATAGAACCCCATCAATACACGTGGTGTTCTATGGAGTTCAATTTCCCGATGCCGGCGGAAAAGAAAATAATATTGTAAGTAACGAGGTGCTATAATGGCTCGTCAGTTCATAAACGAGGTGTAAAGAACGGTTTACTGTAAATTATCCTTTAAAGATTGTTAATTTTAAGGTTGCTTATATTTTGTAAAAGGTGCGGACCGAGTTATTTATTGGTTCTGACCACAGATTATATGCTCATAGGATGAGTTTTATGTTCATGGGCCAGCGGGATTTCAATCGGAATTTGCACTGTTGGCTTTACTGGAATTTATCCAGATTGATTTAGGGTTTTGCCAAGGCTTTTGATTATTTTTCACACAATTTACAACACTGCTCCAATGCCCAAACCGTCCTTAGGAGTGGGTAGCAAATTTCGTTGTGCAATCTTCGGTTAATTAACAACCAACATTTTTGCATCTCTTTATCGAATTCTTTTTATAAACGAATGCCGAACGTACAGGCTCGTGTTTAAAAAATGAAGTTGATGATGGCAGGCGGATAACGAACGATGGAATATGGTGTTTTCATTGTATCAAAAATACCTACCGTATCGAAAGATTAAATAAGTTTATCCTATCTATCTATTGCTATTTTGTTAAATATTTAATAAACAAATACAGCTAATATTCAAATTATTCATGAATCTCTTGTTTGACTCTCTCTTGTGTGTTGTGACGTCTCTGGTCATATAAATAGTGGATTGTTTACGTTCTGTGCATGGTGTTTAGTTGTGTAGTTGTGTTTCATTAATTATTTTGTGGATTTAAAGAATTTATAGTTTGTGTTAAACTAAAAAATGGCTTCAGAAGGATTCCTTAAAGCGTCACCAAACAATTTACCATGTGTACATATTTTTATGGTTACCGATTTTTTAAAAAACGACGAACGCTCTAATTCAGCGGAATTTAATGGTGTCAAAGCAGCAGCGTAAGTAAAAGTCCGAAAGTTCGTTATTAGTTACTCTCTCCTAAATATACCTAAGATCTGTCTGTATTGGTGTAAATTAGGTAAATAATATATACAATTTCACCTATTCAACGTAACTTAACTTCTACACATGACTGCTTTAAAAGTAAAATGAACTCTTAAATTTGTATTTTGGACATCACGAGAACAATGTGGTGATATCGGATATGTGGAATTGAAACACGAGGGTTCTTTGTCCACTGTACAAGGTAGAATTTGCCCAGAACACAAAGTACGATCAAAGGCATATTCTATCTGCCTCATCATTCAGCTTTTTGTTCGTACTTTCATTGAAATGATCCTCGTCACAAAAACAAAAATTGATTTTGATTTAGGAAAGGATTTAGGCTGCGAAAACAACAAAATAAACACGAGACACTTTGTTGATATGACCTGCTACGTCACAATCGGGATAGGCAACCGGATTCGGGGTTTTTGGCGGAAAATATAAGATTTGAATTTAAATTATACTACGAGATACCAATGCTAAACCTCGAATTTGTAACACACCTGTATACACAAAAAGAGGCGAATTTATTCGGAAGTATTTTATGGATACATGAAAGATTGCCCGAGGTACCTACATTTAATAATGAATCTCAATTACTAGATTCAAACCAAAGATGCATTTTGTCTAGAATACTCTGTATATTCTTATGCCATTAGTGTCTACGATCGAAATAAATGTGAGTTCTGTTAAGGTTTATCGTGCTTACAGCTTAATGTTTCTGAGATCCTTGAGTTTTGTAAAAATGAAGATCTATTTTTTAAGTTTAAATACTCAACACACATTTCGAGTTTCTAATCTAAAGCTAATAAAAGCAGTTGTGTGGCAAATTAATAAAAAAAAATGATTTGGACACAGGGTGGCCCTGTTGAGATAAGCTCTATTTAAATGATCTTTACGATTGTCCAGCTATTTCTTCAAATTGCCTCATCTTGGAGCTCTGGAGGTTTTTCTGAAAAACCTTCCTTCGTAAAACTTTTCGACGTTTTGGGAAAGCTGCCGTCTAGTCCAAGGACCAGTTAACTTGAAACAGTCACTTTTTGCAATAATTTAAATTTGTTTTTTTACAAACTTCGATTTGGGTATTTCGCCTCAAAAATGTTTGTTTTTAAAAAAGACAGAATTTCTTCACGTCCTTTATTACAGATTGATAAATAGTGCTCCTATTTCGCATTAAGAACGAATTATTTATCAAAAAGTAATCAAGAACTATCACCTAGAGGGTATCCTG